TGACCAAGTGATCCAGTCCCTCATAGCACTGGGGAACGACCCCCAGCCTGAACACCCTCTCAGGGCCTACCTAGCCGAAGAATACTCTAAGGACCGTAAAAAATTCTGTAAGAATGCTGAGGAGTTTACAAAGAAATATGGGAAAAAGCGACCAGTGGACTGAAATCTGCAGAGATTGACCCAGAGAGTTTGAGCAGAGACCCCGGCGTGTATTCAGACCCCCGCAAAGCAGGACTCTGTGGAGAATTGACTGTGCCACCACCTGGCCTCCGCTTGTGATAGTTACTAACTTTCTACAATTTTCTTAATCAAAAGTGGTCTAGGTAACCTGCAAAGAAAGGATTAAAAATTTAAGATGTTCTAGTTCTGCTTTTTTTGTTTCAAAAAATCACCACTTCAATCTTCTTCCAAAGAATGGTGTTTCTTTTCTTGTCCAGATTTATCCAGAACCTACTTACCACTCAGTAGCTCATGAGCTGTGTTATTTTTTTTAAATGGGGAGGAGGGAAGGTTGAGGTTCACCTTCTTCCTCCACCCTCCCAGCCCCACTTTCTGGCATCCAGTTTCTTTTTCACCTGCCCACTTTCCCAGATCCAGGCCCCGTCTCCTTTGCCCTTGACATCCCCTTGGGCTTTTCTTCTGCATTGCACTGCCTGGTGTGGGAATTGTCTCAATTGTATAGCATCCTTTAGAAAATGTTAGAAGCAGTCATACACATGTGCGTGTGCGTGCGCACATACCCCTAATTAAAAAAGATCATAAGTTGTAAAAAGGGAAGCCCAGCTCTTGTATAAAAACATGGCTAATGTGACCACAATCATGTTGATGAAATGGCAGACCCCACGCCTGTGTGCTGGGGGAAGGAACCACAATAGCAGATCAGTGGTGGCCTGCCAGCCAGATGACATTAGTCCACACAGGTGAGGATTTCTCACCAGAATGGCTTCTCAGGCCAAAGGTTGGCCCTCCTCAAAGTCACACTTTTGGAAGATGAGTTCATCTTGCAGGTGAAGCCGCAGCCCAAATGTCCACTTGAAATCCCAAGCATGCCCATCACCCAACTCCCTGCTGAATGTGCCACGGAACTCGTGCATCCTCTGCCAGCATCTGCCCCACCGCCTCCCTCACATGGATCCACAGCGGGGTCAGGACTGACGGGATCTGCCTCAAGAGAGCACCGGCCGGGGGTTGATGTCACTGTGCTTGCTTAGGAGTTGGCCAGCCCAGGAACAAGATGTCCTTCCCTCACCCTTGGACTCATACAGCCTTTGCAGAAATCACGTCCACTTGATGGTCACTCAGTGATATCCTTTCAATGTGTTTTATATTGTTTTGACTGCCTTTTTTGTAGAAATAAAAATTGACCTTAGAATTTAAAAAAAAAAAAAGAAAGCAAAGCTTCCCCCAAACAGATACATGCTCACCCATGTTTATTGCTGAGAGATCCCAAGGATGGTGCCCAGGTAAGGCAAAGTTGAGATCTGCTTTTCATAGTATCACACAGTATGAGTCTAAGTCAGCTCAACAGCACATAACAATAACATGATCGAAAACATAAAGTAACTTTCAGGAGTTATTGCTTGCAGTACTGTCCTCAAACATCTTCATTTTACCACCATGATGATGTCTGATGTGTAGATCTGACCTTGTCTCTCTATTGATTAAGCAGTTTGTTGGCTTCATATCACCTGGAGAGTAAAAGTTAGCCTCTGCAGTTTAATATTTGAATTGTCAGTATGGCCTACAGACTGTGGAGGAAAATATTTGACAGTGATAACACCCACGAAGGGACTCAAATTTCTAGAAAATTTCAGCATTTTAAAAAGAAAGAGACAAACTTAATTTCAAAACGGGTGGAAGATGTGAATAGAGCACCTCACCAATGAAAAAACTTGAAAATAATTAGTCAAATTGAAATTCTTGTGCTTCAGGAAAATACGTCAAAACAAAACTGTGGTTTAGTAAATCTGCTTAGAGTCAAGAGGCTTCTCCGAGTAGATGGCACTCCAGCCTATCATTTTAAAGATAAATGCTATTTTTAAAAGAGAGTAAAATCAGCAGATTCCAAATATGAATTTATCAGAATGCTTCTTCTCCACTGGAGAATACCTGGAAGTCCCTATCCAAGAAGTAACTAGTGAAATCATCATCCAGGGACAGAAAGAATAAAATAGAACCCCAATGATGAACACCTACAAAGTAGAATGACCTGGTGCGTTTAGTGAAACTTTGAGTTAACTGGGTAAAAAGAAGACAAACCAGTTGAAATCCATGTTTATCATTGTTCCTTCAGGACATACAAATTATACTTAGGACTTAACTTTCTTCTTTTCTCTTTATCTTTAATCCCAAGAGTCATAAAAACATTTTAGAGCTGGGAGAAATCTTATAAATAGAATTAATATCCAAAGACCTGAAAGGTAAGGACCATAGAGTTTGGGTCTTAAAAAGATTTGAGTGGCCACCTACACATCTCTTCCTGTCTGTATAAAAGGACAGTAACAGGACCAGAAACCTCATTTTGAGACATCAGTTGCAATCCTCTTAATTTAACAGCACTCTTCCCACTTCCTACCTAGGTTCTCCATTTTCATTCCTCCTTTTTTTTCCCCCCTGCCTTCTGAACTTACTTCTGGGGTAGATACTGCCTTTCATCACATATGGTTGATTGTCCCGAGGAGTCTGTTCCTGACAAATGTTACTGGTAATTTTTAGGCCTATAAAATGTGTAATTTCACTTTTTTTATAAAAGTAAGTGACTGAATTGTCCACATTAGACATCTGATCTTGTAAAGTGAGTATTGGGAATCCTTATCAGTACAGTTTTACGTCTGTTAACGCAGGAGTAGAGGTAGTATAGAAAATGGTTTGGAGCTTGTGCTCTGTATTGACTTTTTTTTTTAACTTTTTTATTTTATTTTCTTTCATTATTTTTTTGTGTGTACCGTCAAATCAGATCTGACTGGTACAGAAGGAGATTGTTCCTCCTTCTCCAGCAGAGCATCTGGTG